GACCTGGTCCCATAGAAAACGTGGACGCATGCATTCCAACAGTTTCCCTATCTATATATTTTTTAAATATCTCAAATTATTTATTACTTTTAAATATTTAAATTAATTATATGTTTTCTGTTTTATCTTTATTTGTAATTATTTTTTGAACGCTCTAAATATCTCAACTACGAGAAAATAACACATGACTAAAATAAAATAACAATTAAGAGAAATTAATATATATTTAAGACATACATAAAAGTAAAATAGTATATAAAAAAAGAACTCTTCATAATTAATGTCTTGGTAAGAGGCATATAAAAGAGAAAAATGATAAATAATTTAAGTCAGAGAAGTAATTGATTATCATGGAATTTACATTTGGATTCTTATAAGTTTTGAAAATGTATTCAAACTAAAACAAATACTACTTTGTCTGTCCATTTTTACCTATCTATTATACTTAAAATATATATTCACTTTTATTTGTTTTTTTTATTATATCAAGAGAAAGATATAATATTTTTTATATTTTACTCTTAACATTAATTATTTATTCTCTAAATTATGTTTAAAATTTAAAGACTAAAATTAACCAATATGAATAATATGATAAAATACTCATATAAGTTATTAGTGGTTGTTCAAAAAAGGACCAAAAGCACCACTAACTTTAGAAAAAAAGTCTAAATACACCCTACATTTATCTATTTTACTAAAAATATCCATCCATTCATCTTTTTAATTAATTATTTATACCCTTGAAACTAACACATTTCTCTTTATTTAGTTTTATGAAAAAATATTTATTACATGGGTTAAATAAAAAACTCACCTTGATCAATTTTCCCCCCTATAATTTATCGGACTGAATTTGATGGGACCGAGAAGAGAAAACATATTGAAAAACCGGTGTTGATAATGCAAATTGAACAAAAACATTTATTTTTTATTTTAGAAGATATTACAATTTACCCTCCGAAATTAACAAGAGAGGATGTACGGAAAATGGGGTTTGAAATATTCTGGGATTTTAAAAAAAAGAAGAATAATTACGACATCGGATTGGGTATATTATTTCGGATTTGATAAGTTATAGGGAAATAATTTGATGTGCAGTATAAAAAAAAATGACACATAATAAATATTTTTTTTATAAAATAAAAATCTCACTAATTTAGGGTCTAATTACATATTTTTGATGAGTTTTCAAAATTATCATTCGTGCTATATTTCGATACTATGATACACGTGTCTTGGCAAAATAAGGTGTAATTTGTCCAGATACACTATATCTAAGTGAATTCACATTTATCTAAAATATACTCTCTCTCACACACACACCTCTTTCCTATTTTGTTCACGTCTCTCCCTATGTATCTATATTTCAAAATGTATTTGATATCCTAGATAGAGGGGGACTTTCATATATAGTTGGGTTTGCACGTGCACCCGTTAACTTAAAAAAAATCATATATATATCTTGAGAAACTAGGAGAAATAAGAATATAGTAAAGAGTGCAAGGCATAGAACTGCATTTGGTCGTTTGGTAAAACTAAGGGAATTCACCCTAACCTGGGATAAGATAACATTGGTGCACCCAGACTCTTCAAATTTTGGGTTCGCCTTCAAGAAACTCATGGTCTCTTAATCTTCGGGAGTATCATAATACCGGTCATGGCTATAGCCTATAACCGTCTGTGAACTAAAATAATTGAAAGGTATCTTGAGCAATTTGGGCATGGATCATGAGCATCCAATTAATGTGTGACAAGTGTTTATGTTCCTAGATGTTTTGATGATCTCCTCACAAGGGCAGACACACCAATTAAGGGGGAAAACACCAGTTATTGAATGAATGTATGTTCACTCACGTGAGGAGTTATGCAGGTTGTTTGTCATCATCAAAAAGGGAAAATTGATAAGAGCTTATGCCTTCACAAGTGCAGGGACCTGGTCCTCTGCAGAGTATGAATACTCGTCCAGCTGTCAAAGTGCTGTACAACTGTAAAAGTTGTCTGCGTCAGAAAGTTGGTGAAGCTGCAGAGTACTTCACCAATCATAAGTAAAGAGGTTGCTTGTACGTTTGGTAATAACTATTTATAGTATATAACAAACAAGATACAACAATATTACTCATTCATTCAAAAGAAGAGAGCCAACAAGTATTCTCAAGAACTCACTAAGAGAAGTTTGCAAGGGACCTGGTCCATGCAAGACTGTGATGTGAAAGGACGACAAGACAGCTGTCAGAAAAGCTGATACGTCAGAAAAGCTGCTACGGCAGGTGCACAACTTTTCTAACAGCAGGCCTTCAGCCAATGAGATTGGCTCAAGGAGTTTGTGTTCACTTTCAATATATTATCTCGTTCCAACAAACACAAAAAAAAAAAAGATTTTGGCAAACAAAAAACTCACAAGCTTAAAAAGGAAAAAGCCATCTTCAAGGTAGAACGATACTTACACTCAACAAAAGGATCTGATAAAGGGCTGAAGCATCTTTGTTGAGTTTGAGTTTTATGTCTATCATTTTATAGGTTTTTGCATCTTGAAAATTCTCAAGTATACAAGCTTGTGTTCGTTGAAAAAGTCTAAATCAGTTGAGGCTAACTGATTTAGTGGGCAGCATTGGTTGCTGCTTAGTCAAATTCTAAGTCATCTAGGAGCTAGTTGATTTAGTGGGCGGTGTGGTATCCGCTTAGCAAAGTCTAAGTTATCTAGGGGTGATAGCTTAGTGGGCAGTGTTGTATCTGCTCTGGCTCATCTAAGTAATAGGAAGTATTGCTTAGAGTTGGGATTAGTAGGCTAATCTCAGTTTGTAAACTTGCTTTTACTTTTGCTTGAGAAGATTAGTGAAAGCAGTTTTTTTTTAAAAGTCCTGGCAGGCAAGGTCGTGGTTTTACTCCCTTGAGCAAGGAGGTTTCCATGTAAAGTTGTTGTGCAATCTTTACTTTCAGCACGTTGTTTATTTTCTGTTATTTTAACTGTGCTGAGGACCTGGTCCCATCTAGATCAGTGGACGCATACATTTCAACAATGTGTATGGTAACAATCAAGCGATGCTATATTTAACAAAGGATCCGGTGTTTCATCAACAAACCAAACATATTGAAATGGATTGTCACTATGTCCTAAATGAGCTATCTACCTTTCATTCATATGAATAAAAGGACTTTTGCAGGCAAAACAGAGTAGGGAAATAGTGTTAAATATGATTTACTTGGTTGAGAAAACTTTTGGTATTATGCTCTCGTCTCTCTATCATTTCAGTGAATTTTAACTGCTCACATCTTTTTTATATTTCACAGCTCATATTAGAGAAAGCATCAATTATTATTGTAAATGAGATATAAAAATTGTAAAACAAAATGGTCAACTCATGATACAATTTTATTTTCACACCACACTCTTCAATACACACCACAATCATATATATACAGAGTATTATTTTCCGCGTTGAAAGCAACAACAACTATTTATTCAAATCAATTATTTAACGCGGAACAACATGAGATCGAGCGAGGACACATTAATGTAGTCGAGATGGATCAATTGTATTTATCGGCAATCTCCAAGAGAGTGTCACAAAGTTTTTTTGGCATACTTAGCATTGCCATATGATCAGCACCTTTAATTTCCTTTGCTTCAGTGACACCAATGTTGTCAATTTGCCATTGTTGGAATTCTTTTGATATGCCTTTATCCTCTGTACACACTATATAAACTCTCTTCACTGATCCATATCCTTCATCTGTGAAATACTTCGCCTTCGACAAATCTTCCAGAAACAGAGAACTTGTTCTCACCAATGATAATCCTAATGCAAGATCCTACCACATTATCATTTAAATGTAAGATTACTTCTATTTCGAAAAAAAAAAATGAGGTATATAATAATAGAGTAAAGAGTACCTCAGTAGGGCTTAACTGGTAGAGCTTGTAAGCCAAAAATTTGGGACCAAAAGTCATGGATGTAAGTGGCTCTTCAGGGGTACCATATGGTAAAAATTGGGTATCTAACCAATTCTCTGCTGGTGTCCGTTCATTGTACTTCACAAATTTACATTCAAATTGGATTTATAAGTCAATAATATTTTTGTGATAAAATGCTCATATTAATCGTTGTTTCTTAAGAAGAGTATAAAATTTGAACAAGTAAAAATGAAACAAGAGAGAGTAAATACTGAAAACAAATTATTAATTCCAAAATTCCAAACAACAAAAAAATTGAAAGGTACAGTTGGAGAAATGCGCCAGAGACAAAGTACTCAGCAATTACATCGATTGGTAATTTCCCCATATGTAGAAACTGAAATGACGCTATTTTCTGTTACTTCAATTATTGTTGACTGTTGTCATTTCTAACAATTCATATCTCAAATTATTTATTGATTGAACTGTAGTCAAGCTGTATCTTTTACCTAACTAATAAAATATATGCACAATGGCAGATCTAGACTAGACGAAACTACAAGTTCGGCATAACTTAAACTTATTTTTCCATTTTTGGTAATATTTTAATTTTAATTTTCCACATAACATATTTAAGATCATAAAATTAAATGAATTACAATATTGAAAAGTCTTTTTTGTTTTTCTTAAACTTTGTGTTAAATCAAACTAGATCGATCTTTTTAAGACAGAAAGAGTAGTATATTATACTCACCTGATTCAAAACATAGGAGGAGATGTGAATAGAATCAGGCATGAAAGCAGTCAAGAAAACAGCAGCATAGATCTTTTTTGGGTATTTTTCCATAGCAAGTCCCAAATTCATACCACCAAGACTATGCCCCACTAGTATGACTTTCTCCTCTTGTGGAAGAGATTCCATCAATTCCAACAATGGCAAAGTGTAATCATGAAGTGTATGAAGTTGCTCTAGTTTCCTCAAGTCAATGCCAGAGGCTGCTAAGTCAAGAGCAGTAACCTTGTGGCCTGCATCCTCTAGCAATGGTTTTAGCTTGTACCAACACCAACCTCCATGCCCTGCACCATGTACCAAAACAAAGTGTATTCCTTGTTTCTTGTTAGCTTCCATTTTTTAGGCCTTGTGATTTTTCTTGCCTTTTCTTTTCTTTGGTTTAGTCTTGAAGAACTATGGTCTATGAGATGGGTTATATAGTAGTTTGGTGGACATTAGAGCATGGGAAATTTATTGCAACTACAGGTCAGAATTTTAAATGTTGCCAATGGTTAAATCTCATTTGATCAATGTATTTTTGATAGAATAGTCAACTTTTAGGGATGTAGAGAGTAAGAGACATAATTGGACAAATATGGATTGAACAAAAGTAGGTTGAATGTTAAATTAGGGCTTAGACCTAACTCACACCTCAGAAGTTAGCTCTAAGAGAGGAGGATTGTCCAACCCTTATAAGGAGTGCACTCATCTCATTAATCATTAATGTGAGACTTTTTTGCTTTAACACCCCACCTCACGCCAAGTGCTTAGCATCTGGTGCGTGGATAATTTTAGGTAATTTTTTACTTACCTCACGCCTAGTGCTTAGAATCTGGTGCATGGGCAATTTTTTATTTTTTTGGGCCCCAACATTGGGTGAGATGGTCCTGCTCTGATACCATGTTAAAGATATGACATCTGAGTCTAACTCAACCTCAAAAGCTAGCTTATGAGGGAAGAATTGTCCAAATTCATATAAGGAGACCATCAGTCCATGTTAAATTAGGTCTTAGGCCTAACTCACACCACAAAAGCTAGCTCAAAGGGAGGAGGATTGCACAACCCTTATAAGGAGTGCACCCATCTCATTAACCATCAACGTGAGACTTTTACCCACTCTAACATTGAATGACGTGAGAGATCTTTGTACTTGACTTTGTTTGTATGTTGGATCTTTCTACTCATTACTTTATCAACTGAACTCTTAAGATCATTATAACACAATATTTTAAACCCTTTTTGAACAACTCAGTAGTGCGTGATTACAACCAAGTACATGTTAATTTCCACGTTATTAAAAATTGTTACCTAGAAAATTATATGCTAAAAGTCTAAAACCTCCCATTTTATTTTCTCTTTGTTCGAACAGATCCATATGCTTTCCTCACCCCCATGATACTGTCGATTGGTGAAGGTGTTTGAGTGCGATTTTCAGTCTCCTTTTTGTAAGTTTGTTAACCCTGTCTTAACCTAAATAATACTTATCTGTTTTGTTCACTGTTTGTTTGTTATTTTAGTGTATGTGGAATTTTAGAATTTAGAAGTTTTACAATAATTATCTGTGATTTTTTGGGATTTGCTTCTTTTTTTTTTTAGGTGTTTGATGAAACCGAAGAAAGTTATTTTTTTTATAGTGTGATGAAATTGGAGAAAGTTGAAATCTTTTTTTCTTGGTATTTGATGAAAATAGAGAAGATGGAAGATTTGTTTTTTTTTCTTTTCTTCTTTTTGAGTGTTTATGAAAATGAAGAAATATTAATATTTTTTTCTTATGTGAGTTTGATGAAATTGTAAAAAAAAATATTTTTTTCTTGGTGTTTGATGAAATTTGAAAAAGATTATTATATTAATGAGTGTCGAGATTTGTGGATCTGATTAGAAGATTAAGGAGGAGGAGAAAAATTTGTGGAAGTGATTATTGAAGATAAATATAACAGAATAAATGATTAAGCAACAACAATAAAATTAAAAAATTGAAGAAAATTGGCTGATAATGAAGGATCTACCCAAGTAAAAGGACCTTAAAAAAAATTAACGGGAGAAACAAAAAAAAATTAATGAGAAACAAAATAAATTTGGAGAGAAAAATCTAACGAGAGGCAAAAATTGACTAATTGTGGAAGAAGATGCATATTATAGAGGTCAAAAGTGATCAAAATGAACTTTTCAATAGGATGACAAATAAGAAAAGAGTTTAAAATATTATTTAATAAATTAAGAGTTCAGTTGGTGAAATAGTAAAAAATGTTGAACTGACAAATAAAGTCAAAGTACAAAAATTTCTGGTCATTCGGCCAACAAAATTATGATGTATATTTAATCTTTTTTAAAAGAATTTGGTCTAACTTGTCCCATCAAAATTCACACCCTTAAGAAATTACTATAAATTATATTTTAAATTATTTTATTCTTGTTTCTTTTTTATACTAGTGACTAGTGAGTGAGGAAAGATCGTGTTATGCATGAGTGCAAAATTTATTTATAAATTTATTTTTTAAATGGTGTTAATTAAATAATTTTAATTTTTTAATCTAAAATAAATTATATATATTTGTGCGATAGTAAATTAACTCATTTAGTGTAAAATGAATATTTGATAAATATTTTTTTAATCCAAAAGTAATACTTGATAAATATTATTAATGCTGGTAAATTTTAAATTGTGTTGATTAAATGATTTTAAATTTTGTTCTAAAATAAATTATATATATTTATGAGGTGGTAGTCATCTCATTTTTTTTCTTCTCAAAAACCTAATATAAAGGGGCTTATTGGAATATCCATAATGGAAATGTTCTTTTTCATCGATAATTAACTTTTTATTTAAATTAATTATAAAATTTACACGAATATCAATGATGTAAAAAGTAATAAAACTATAACTAAAAAATATGAATTTAAATTTAGTGATCGTAACAAAAGCAGGTCCCATAATTTTAGAAAAGTTGTTCCTAAACAGATTGGTGCTTTCTTCAATCACTCTAATATAAAATAAGAGAAAGTTACACCTTATTTAAAAAAGAAGATATAACTAATTTTATTTCAAAAATATTTAATACTGAAAATAAAATAGAATAAAAAAATAATTTTATTTAATTTTATAAATTAAGAAATATCAACAACTATCCTAAGACAGAGGGAGTATTTCTCCTGAGTAGTAATTAATGACTATATATATGTCTAGTTAGATAGGATTGAAAAAAGATAGCTAACCCTTTCCTTTTTATTTTCTTACAAATATAATAGGTAGCCAAAAATATTTATTTTAAGAAAAATTAAGCTTTTGATAAATCAGTAAAAGTAATTTTAAATGAAAGCAGAAGTAGTTTGTTGAAAAGAGGCTAAAATATTCATTTCTTAAAAAAGGCAGAAGAGAAAACAAGAAAATATTTTTCTCATGACTAAAATATTTCTTTCATATATACATATTTATCAATATATCTCTTATTAATTAATAAGCATATCTCATAAGTTTAGTTAAATATTATTTAAAAAAATTATTTTTTATTTTTATATAATAATTTTTTTATTTATTTTACGTTTATATATTAAGTATTATTTTATATTTTACATATTATTTTGTAGAATTTGAAGAAAAAAAAAGGTAATAACAATATTTTTGTAAGATTACAAAAGAAACAATTAAACATTTTAGCCCTCCCAAAAAAGGTATAATATTGATTGAAAATTTAAATATATACATATGAGATAGAGAAACACCTAAATTATCACTCATAAATTTAAAAAACACCACAAATTATGTAATGATGTGTCTTATACTATACTAGAGAACATGGTCGCGCTTCACGCGAGGGTTAAAAATATGTGTTAGAATAATTTTTCTTGTGGATTAATTATATCATTATATCATCCAACCGTATCATTATCTCTTCATTTGAAATGATACATGCTCTATTAAAAATTATTTTATTTCCATTGCACTGAATGGGGGAATTGTTAGTATGACAACTTCGTATCATTTGTTATTAGATTGAGTTTTACAAACTATATTCTTTAATCAAAAATTATTTTATCTCCCTATTACATTGAAACCAATACATGGAAAACGTCTCATCATTATTTGTAAGATTGATCTAGTGAAATTCCTTTGTGTACATATTTTTTCAAGTGCTCTTGTTTCTTTTTGAAATATGCAATTCACTATAATATTTTCATACATCACTTTAACCGCTTTGCTTGATTTTTCAGTTGCATCTGTATTCAAAAATCAATGTTTTACACCTTAATATAGTTATGAATATTAACATTAATATTTTACCTTGACAATTCTCCGAACTAATTAGTTGGGGATGATCCATAATTTTCTTATTCAATTGTAGTACTTTTGTATAAGTATTTATCAAAGTCAAACTAAGATAAAGTGTTGCAATAAAATCTAATTTAAATATAATAATATTGAACATTTGAAAAACTAACCTCAATTAATCACTATGAGCATATAGTGGCTATGAAGATAAATGGTGTGTCTTGATGTTTTTAATTTTGTTTGTGGTATTTATACCACTTTTTTCATTTGTTGGTTGTGCTTTCCATTTAATTATTTAAATTATGAATTAATTTTATTTATTTATTAAATGTTTGTGTAAAAGTAAGTGTCAAGATTTTGATAAATAATTGGAGGAAAGTTGGGGATTTGTATTGTTATTTATTTATTATGAAAGATATGTTATGCAAATATAGTAAATGAAAAGGTGTAAAGGATTAGTTTAGAATGATGTAATTGTATAAAAAGTAATTCATATGTAAGTTCATTAACGCATAATGTTACATGATTTTGTAATATTGTTGGTATTTTTCTTGTCACGACCCGGGAGCACCCCCTAGTCGTAACCGGCGTACTCGATCTCGAAGAGGTCTAATACAAGCCTCTTAGCATTCATTCATCGCATAGACACTAAAACCATAAGGAATTTAAAACTTTCTTTACCAAGAAAACATTGCATAAAAAAAATAGCAAGCGGAAGACTTTCTAGACTTTATACATGATGTCTCATAACCATCTAATACTTTAGAGTACAAAATTCGGGACTAATCCCGTACACAACTTAAACAATACTAAAAAGACATAAAAGAACATATTGGGGGTTGTCCTCAAATCTATGAGGACTCACCAAGTCTTCATCTTCAACACTTAGAAACCTATCAAATAGCCATGACATGTCATCATCTCCAAATCCCTACACTTTAGTCAAAAAGGGAAAGGAAGGGGTTAGCACAATTAAGTACTAAGTATGGAAGCCATGCAAAAACATGCCAAAAAGGACATTTTCAAAGAATAAATGCTTTCATATCAATTTGATAAAACCTATACCTCGTGCAATGTATGGATGGCGTCCCATACCACCATCCAT